GCAGTGCGTTGTATCTCACGCCCAGCAATTCTACAGCAGGCTGATCTTGATGTGAACAGATACAGTACAGCTGCAGTATACAAGCGGACCGCTTTCTATTGTGCGGTGGGCACAGATAGTCAACGCACATCTTTTCCCTGGACCGGATATCATTACTGCACTTTCGGAGGCCGCTAGGAAGGCGATAGCTGCACACAACACATCTGTCTCCACCGAGATATCTGCTTCCCCTGGTGCGGCTACTGGAGGCGACAACGAATCTTTGGAAGAAGGAGATGAGGAGAGCGACGATGACGACGACTTGGCAGACGAAGCAGCCCGGACTGCTGATGACGAGCGAAAAGGCAGGAAGCAGTCTGTTGTGTCTGTCAGCACCACGATCAGCACAAAGACCGAGACTATCAGCCCACAGCCGTCCCTGCGGCCAACAATATCACGGGAGCCGACAGAAGAAGACGACGGCGACGACGAAGACGACGATGCTGAAGCAGCTTTGGAGGAGTTAGGACCAGCACCGTTCTACCGCTCGCTGCTTCTGCTCGCACAGATGTCCTCGAGGGACAACATGCTGACCCCACAATATACGGAGGCTTGCATCAAGCACGCTCGATCGAATAAGGACTTTGTCATGGGCTTCATTGCTCAGCGCTCATTGAACTCGGAGAAAGACGACAACTTCATCACGATGACGCCTGGTGTGCAGCTGTCGGCCGGTGGCGACGCCCACGGCCAGCAGTACAACACTCCTCGGAAGGTCATTGGTGATGCTGGCTGCGACATCATCATCGTTGGCAGAGGCATCTTACAAGCGTCAGATCGCAAACGCGCAGCAACGGAGTATCGAAAACAGGGATGGCAGGCGTACGAGGAGCGTTTGCGATCTGGTCGGAAGCGACGCTGATTTTGCGGTGCGGAGGTGTTCATATACGATATCGATCCAGCTCGGCGAAGCAAGCAAACGGAGCATCGCCTGGCGTTGGAAACTGAGGAGTCTTGCATTATCAACTAAGATTGCGAGACTGGATATCGTCTTGTATCCCGATCTTTCCCAAGCCAACAAAGAATACCGATACCCACGACAGCAGCATGGCGATATGTTGCTGCCTCGAGAGCACTTCCTTCGTCCTCTACAGCTCCATCACAATATTCCCTTTTATGATGAGCGGAGCATCCACAAGAAGATCGGTTTGCATCTCGTTCATGACCTCTTGATATCTTTCACTCGCCCAGTGTTTGTCTAGAGCGGCTTGGGATTCATCGAACGTCAATTTAGCTGATGCCATGCATGAGCTTGGGGAAGTGAACATACCTTTCCCAGAGTATCAGTCGTGACTTCTCACCATCATTCGCCTCTTCTAGCACTCGAAATTCGAGGCAGTATTTCTCATTCTCTTTGATTTCCTTCAGGCATTTGGCCATGAAGTCTTTCGTCTAATTTAATGGCATCAGTTCCTGTGTTTGTGACAAAGATCTCTGCTGTACTCTGTACCTTTTGAACTTTACCCGGCTTGACGTCGAGTACCCCCGTCACAGTGACTTCCTTCGACATTGTGTATGGGACTCTTGGTGGATGTGTGGGATTGAATATGGTTATCAGTTGCCTCTCAAATCTTGGATCTATATGCATCCTTCGTTGGTTCTACTGCTAGTGCACCCAAGAACGCTAGAATGTCCAGGCTCCCTTAGGCTTTCATAGTATACTCCTTCCGAACTCAAAAAGAACGTCATATCGGCGATTCGACGAAGCAACACAGGGCTTCAGGAACAGGGTCATGATACTTGGTGATGTGTTATTAACGAAAGAGCCACTGCCAACGGACTTTGCCTAAAACAATACCTCCGGTGTCAGAGCGACAAGTATTCGTCCGGAACTCTATACTTCAGTAAACTCTGTTTCTGTCTCCGGACGAAAAAGTGTCTTCAAGACGCCTGCCTTGACAATGCAACCCCAGAGCAAGAATTGAACAAAGCCCAAAACGCAACGCAATGCCCTCTATATTCCCTAAATGCAATCTTGGCCTTCAACCATCCTACTCCGCGACGGAACGGATATCAACCAACATGTCGGTGTTGGCGAAAGCAAGAGTCTGGCCCTTGACGTCGCCGTTGCCGCGTGAGCAGAGATCCATGATGCGGCCAGCAGCCTGAGCTATATCTTGACTGTATGGGAAGTCAGCAATACTTAATCAGCCGTAGGATGAAACAGTAACTTACCATGTAGTCGTGGTTGTACCAGCCGAATCCTCCCCGGACGCCGCTTTGGTAGAGATGCCGGTGATCTGCGTGTTGCCGCGACGGCAGAAGCTCGTTGCAGTACCGGCGACGCAGGCATCGGTGCCTTTGGATGCAAGATCGTTGATGCATTCAACGGCTTCCGAGGCAATGCCGTTCTCGGTAAAAGGGTTGTTCTCGCCATCGAGGCAGCTGACGTCGCTTTGACGGGCGAACAGACGGGAGTTAGGGTGTGCTGAGGCAACGACCGCGAGGGCGAGGAGGGAAGCAACGACGGCAGTGAAGTTAACCATGTCTGCTGATGGGGATCGAAAAGTGTGTCAAGGTAGATTCTCGAGGATGAAAATGGTACTCGTGCTGCCCTGTAGGCGATGGGCGGAAGATGGAGTAGATCTGGCTTGTCGGAGAGTGTTGGTTGATGTTGCTGTGATCGGAACACACATCAAGGTCGCCTACCTAGACCTTATAGGCATCGTTGCATGGTTCACCTCGGCGCCGTTGACTATCGCAGGCGTACTATGTTTGGATCATTGCACTTCGCCCTCGTGGCTCATCGCAAGTATGTCCGTATGTTCAAAGAGAACAACCAGGTCGTAAATCCGCGACGATGTTGGAGTGATTGCTCAAGCAATTGGTGGCTGGAACGCAACGAAGCAACCAACCAGAATTGTGAACGGCCTCCCGGATGTAAAATAAGCACAAGTACACATTCCTTATACGGAATCACTCTTGGCACTGCACGCATTCGACGCATCTTGCGGAGTACATGTGGGGATGTACATATCTCGCTCTCGCATCACTGGTTGGACACGCGACCATGGAGGCTGGTGTTCCCTCAGCCCTACCTGGCCTTGTCACACCTTCGCCCAGAATGCAACGGCCGTATTGAGGATGGTCGGACCGTTGCGAGCGTTTGGTGTTGAGACGCGGTATAGACCCGTCTTTGGGTCTTCGTAAAGTCTACCTGAGTCGATACGGTACAGTATTGTGCCAAAATAGCTCTACGACATCCCGGATGTCTTTGAAGGCGAGATATGCAGTTTCCTATTCCGGTGTCTCGATTATCAAGAGTGTCGAAAAAATCTCATTGGGCACATAGACCTCGTGGACGGATCGACCTGTTTCAAGCCGGACCACATGGTCGCTGCTCTATACCTGCCTATGGCTCAGCACGAGTCGCACCATGAGCCTCATGAGCCTCGTGGAGTTCGTATATGGTACTGTTGGTTCTGGATCGGAGCAAGGAGGTAATACGGACGTAGGTCTGCTGGTTCATGTCAGCGATCCTTCACGCCGACGGAGAAAGTGGCTTACGTGCTGTTCAATGATGCTATTGTTGCTCGGGCACTTCATAACATGCTCCGCCTTTGACACCGGGCAAGGTCGGTCTGTACCAACGTAGCTGCCTCCAACATGCGAGTGATACGATCGAGCTGAACATATAAGGTCTGGTGCTCTCTCTTCGTTAGCATCACATTCCACTCACCATTCAAGCAACTCACCAGCATCTCAAAGGCACTTCCAATTCAATCCACCATCCAAATTCGACCAAACATCAGCCTTCCCATCCTCAGCATGCTATCCATTATCAAGTCCCTCACACTCCTCGGCCTCTTGGGCAACATGGCACTGGCGGCTACCTTTGCCGAATTTTGCAATGACGACAACTGCTCCGAGGGTTGCGGAATCTCCGTCGAAGTCGATAACCCTGGGTGCCTAACTCAGTTTGGTAATACACTCGTTGATGGCGAACTGCTGTGTGGTCTCAAATTCCCACTAACCGTGGTGTCCTTCTGTGTTTAGGTCGTCGATCAGTCAGGTTCCACGGCTCCAATGCCCAGGACGTGAGCATGGTCGCTTCGCCGGGCGAGACATGCGACTGCCAGAACTACTGCGAGACTGATCTTGTCCAATCCGCCTTGCATATTTTCGGCGACAACGATTTCTGCTTTAAGCTTAGAGACCGAACCGTAGGACCATCAAGGGTTCCCCAATATTCACGCATACTGATTCGCATGTACAGGCTCAATCATTCCGATTCATCGCTGGCTGTTGCCCGGAGAATCAGTGCTATGTCGCGGGCTTTAAGACGGTGATCTTGCTTATGGGTTGTGAAGGCGGTTCGTTTTCGGCGTTTCGGTTTCGCGATGGTGCAGGAGGGAGTCCGATAGATGCAGTTATTAGTCTGCATTCATATCCATTCATTTTGAAGACCGTATCTATCTTGGCTGGCTTTCTGCTCGTGACTTCCGTGCTTGGCCCAGATCAGACATCACGTCCGTAGGTTCGCTCTCGCAATGGATGTGTTCTTCCGGCAGCTTACTGGCAGTTTCGCTCACTTGTTCCATCCTTCTCAACAGGGAGAGCTCGAGAGTCTGGGCTCGTAAGGTCGAACGCAGTCCTGGTAGCGGTCCAGATATGCAGGTCAGCCGTGTAGCGTTGTACGGCAATTGCCGCTTCGAGTCGATGTGAATGACAGTATGCCAGAACAGTCCAGGGACCTGGGACTCCTCGTAGGTGAGCTGTAAACGGTATGGCAACACCAAAGGGCGTAACGTGTCCGACTTCTTCGGATAGGTTGCTTTCCTCGGACAGGTAAGCTCGTGTACAGGGGAGCCGGTCAAGAGGTCTACTTGAACGTCGTAAGGGGTTCAGCCAGGCTGGTGAGCCACGGAACATCCCAAAAAGATTACGCCGTCTTCCTCCAACCCTTGGGACATCAAAAAGAAGTTCTTTAGAGGTATACAGCAGCAAAAGAACAGCTTATTCGAGCAGCAAGGGGCTCGAACCCTCAACCTTTGGTGTATTTCGTTGCCGAAAACCAACTGTTAACAGTCAGTCAAAGATTTTTGAGAGCAGGCGATCGTTGAGACGTACCGCGCTACCATTGCGCCAACCACCCCGGATCTACCCGCGTATCAGCGGCATTGTATATGATAGGTAGCCTTGGCTGCTCTTGTCCGGTCCCGGAGGTGTGGAGCCAGAAAACCTGTGGAGGTGATTTATCGACCGCGCTAAAAATGCCAAGGTATTTTTTCACCCAATCGGGAATGTGTTGACCCTGGTGCCATTGTTGTTCGATATACACGTAAAGACTGCGTTAATCGGTATATAGAAGAAGGCGTTGCCTAATAAACCAGTCGCCGGCACCAGGAGTAGCTGTTCAGTGCATCCATACCATGCCGAGATATAGTCTTCGTTGCCGTACCACAATGACAACAGCGACACTTCTAGTAAAACAGGTCGTGACGGTCTTCGATACTTGCATATCCTCTCCTCGAACGGCTTTTTGTAATGGGTATAGATACTGTACTGTATTAGCAGGCTTTTTATCGACGGGACGGAGTTGACATTACAGACAATTTTTGTCACGGGTATGGAAGGGCAGAGAGTCCGATCGATTGCACAGCCATCCGTTTGTCGAACTCTGTTTGATTCTTGCAACTATGTCGCTCTTATCGAGCCCAGGTGCGGTCCTCGATCAGGAGGTTAGGTCGAAACTAGAAAGCTTGGCACTCTTGCCTCTCGACGACATCAACACATTCAGCGAACCACGAGAACCACCATCTGAGCACGTCTGTACATCTGGGACACGGAGAACCAATCCATAGACTAGTATGTATCTACGATCAATTCCCAGCATTCCCTCTCTTCCCACCCCTCTTACTCCTATCCGTATGCGCCTTCAGAATCTTCTTATGCTCCATCAAACTCCTCTTCCCCTTCTTCTTCGCCTTCCCCAGCGTCATCATGAAGTTCTTCTTCCTCGCCTTCTCCTTGTTAGTCGTCGACTGCCCCTTCGCCGCCTTTTTCTCCTTCCTCCGCGCAGTTGTCGAACGATGGTCGTTCTTCTCGTCATCCTCTCCTTTTGCCATCTTGATCTTCTCCTCCTTGGTGGCCTTCGCAGACAGTTTGGCAAGACCTTCGATATCGGCGGATGTGAGAGCATCATCGGCGTGTCGTTCGGAGTTCTGCTGTTGTTGGATGCGGCGACGTTTGGCTGAGGGCATGGTTGAGGTGATGGCCGCTGCTGTTTTGAGTTCTTGAAGCTTGGCAAAATCGGCTGGGGTGAGGATGCGGGTCGTAGCGAGTTTAGACATGCGTGCTTCCTCCCGCCTGACCGCTTCCTGCGGCTCGAGAGATGCGGTGTTGCGGTCTGCGGCTGGTGTCGATGATGCGTCCTTGGTAGTCGTCTCAGCGTTCTCCTTATCAGAATCTCTGGCTTTCTCGACGGGCAGCTCCTTCGCAGGCTTCTTCGGCTTATCATCTTCCGAGTCAGACACATCAATCTCCTCACCATCACTCTCCACATTAATCCAGCCACCACTACTGCCACTGTCATCACTCTGCGCATCCCAGTTATCCCACCCTTTCTCTTCGTCCTCCTCCTCATCAAGACCCTGCTCCTCCTTCCACTTCTCCAACAGCTCCAAACCTTCGATCTCGCCACCCTGAACCTCACCAAACCTCGTGCCCAGCCCAGTCCCGGCTCTAAGCTTCAGCGCAGCATCTTTACCGCGATCACGCCTCTTCAGCATATCTGCACCAACTTCTCGGTACAAAGATAGTAAACCACGAGCAGCCATTTGCACGCCCTTGTCTTTTGACTTCCTATACTGGACGAGATCTTGTAACAGCGTCTCGTTCATCGTCAGCGGCTGGCGGACACAGATCTCTCGGATGCCGTTCAATCCGGCACTGGCGACTTGGGCCGCAGCTGCCTCGCTGACGAACTCGTTGGCGATCTTCTGGATGAGAGGCTCCAGCACATCCGGTGGTACCAGATTATGTGTCGCCTGAGCCAAGGATGCCAGAAAAGATGTGACAGACGGCTGTCGTGGGGTCAAATACTTGATGAAGTAGGAGTAGAGTGGTATCAGCGTCAACTTGTGCAACCCGACCAATCTGCTAACGAGTTGCAGCACGATGAGCTTCTGGTCCAGATTGAGCTTAACCTGCGGCTGCGAAGGTTGAAGATGCTGGTGGAACAACTTCTCCGCAAATCCTTGCGGATCGTGAAGTAGATGCAGTGCAGAAAAGTTGAGGGGATGCGGCGCTTTCTTCTTCCTCTCCTTTCGCTTGACCGTCGCTGCCGCTGCCCGTAGCATCTTGTCCCGTTTTCCGGTCTTCTTGTTGATGCCAGCTTGATGCCGTAGCTTACTCATATCGACACCCTCCTCGACATCACTGTCTTCGTCCGCTGCCTCTTCCCGCTCTTGATCACCTCCCAAGAAGAACTTCACACCCGATGTGACCACCTTTGCATCTTTACTCAAAGCTGCCACCTCCATAATACTGACAGCTTTTGCATCCGCCCATATCTGCCTCTTCCACATTTCCCTCGTCACCTTGACCGACCACAATCCTTTGGGACTCGTTGGGTTCGAAGCAATCATGTTGTAGCATGTCGTCTGCATCATCCGGTTGAGTTTGTGGTTCGTCGTTTTGGCGTTTGAATTGCGCAGGTCCGAGATTATCTTCTGAAAGAGGAGCGCACGCAGCGACTTCGAAGGTGTGGATATGAGCAATGGCCATAATACATTGAGCAGCTTCGCAGAATCTATGAGCTCTTTCTTGCGTAACAAGACCAGACTTCCGACGATCTTGTCTCGCAGCTCGGCTTCTAAACTCGCGTGGTGCTTCTCCAACAAGCCGATCAGCTCGCTTGGGAAAGCATGAGTGATTTTGGGGTAGCAGTCGGCGACATGACTGACGAAATCGATCAGATCACGGAGTCGGATGATACCACTGTCGTCGGTCGTCGTAGGCGATTGCAGGAAAAGCTCGTGGAGGGATTGGTATTGCGAGTACTGGTTGATGAACTCGTCCTGGTATGATGTCGGGTCGGTTTTGATTTTGTGTTGGAGATTGGGTAGATCTGCGTCGACCTTCTCGAGCGCACCACGCTTGCGCTTCATTTTGTGAAGGTACCGAGAGTTGATTGGTAGTAGTGACGGTGCTCGAGAGTATGCGGACTTTCGAGCGGAAGAAAAAAAGTCGGGGTCACACTAAGCGTAAAAGTCATGGGATCCAGGGCTACCTGCTCCTTCCCTCTTGGGACATGCATTCTCTCTCCTGCAACGAGTTGGCTTATGATTGCTACGTGCCAAACCTACGATGCATGAGGTGGTGACCTTGCAGTTCGGGCAGCGCGTAAACTACCTGGCCACACATTTCTGGAACATACAAGTAAGCTCTCTCTGCCTGTGCCCAGGCTCGACAAGTGTATACCTTTTCAACCTATTCGACGTATACTGACAAGATCGCAGGAATCCTACTTCACGTACTCCGGCCAAGAAGAGTCACCCGTCGACCACGATGTCTCTTTTAGACCGGGTATCGGCGCAGATGGCAACGACACGTACACCCCACGCACTCTCATCTACGACTTGAAAGGCGGCTTCGGCACTCTCAGGAGAGAGAACGCTCTATATGAGCTCGAGCACCCAGAAAGCTCTACCCAGCAAAGCCTATGGGGTGGTAGCACTATCCCGCTTCGCTTGCCACCTATCAACCCAAGCTCGTACCAGCAAGCGCTTAACCAAGGCACTCAGCCGCCACAATTAACTGCTGACACCGTACGCTACTGGTCGGACTACAACCGTGTATTCTATCACCCGCGGAGTATCGTGCAGCTGAGCGAGTATGAGCTGAATAGCTCGCTCATGCCATTCGAGCGGTGGGAGACGGGAGAGGAGCTCTTTCGGAACCTGGACAGGGAGTTCGACCTTCTCGACCGTGATCTCAGACCCTTCCTGGAAGAGTGTGACCAGCTCCAGGGACTGCAGATCTTGACTAGTACCGATGATGCGTGGGGAGGGTTTGCATCTCGGTATCTCGAGCGGATTTCGGACGAATTGGGCAAAGGTTCCCGTTGGGTCTTCGGACTCAAGGACGGGAACCGAGTACAGAGACAGCGAGAGATGCTACAGACGGCAAATTTTGCTCAGTCGATATATGCGCTGGACTCGCATGCGAGCGTGCACATCCCGCTGTCTATGCCACCAGCACCACTCCCCTCATATCTCTCACTCGATAGGTTGAGCGTGTGGCACACCTCCGCCGTAGAGGCAGTTCTTATGGAAAGTATAACGCTGCCGACGAGGCTACGGGGCACAGAGAGCTCGCATGACACTTTCGACACGCTGGAATCGACTCTCAACAACGATGGCAACCGCCGCATCGTGACGGCTGGCTTCTCAGTGAAGAACCCAGATACGCTGCATGCCACCACCAACGGCGGAGGACCTCAAGACACACGCATGACGAACGGCGTTACGCATGAAGACGAGGAGAATGAGGTGTCGAGCACAGATTTAAGCATGTTCCCGACCTCATCAGCAACCACCCGCTCCGAGCGCAGACCACATATCTTCACTCAAGTAGAGTCCCTTCGTGGATGGTGGAAGCCTGGAGAAGAGATTGAGGCCTCAAATGCAGCAGCTCGCGATCGCTATGTCGAGGGTCCGAGGGTGAGCATCCACCAGTCTTCGTTACTGTTCCCGATCTTGTCCTCGTACCCTGGTATCTTCCGCTTCGAAGGTCATCCTACCAGCTTAGCTATCAAAGCTCAACTTTCGACATCCACTGCAGTTGCTGCTCGGGTCCGAGACCTTGAACGGTCTGCCAGAGGTCTGATGGGTGTCGAAGAACGAGAGGCAATCTGTGATGGCTTGGCCAGTCTCGCGGAAGAGTATGAAGAAGGCTGGGATGATAGTGACGCCAACGACGATAACGACTGATCTGACGAAGCTCTGCTGCTGACGAGCAATGTTTGGCTTGCCGACCCGAGTTCCACAAGGTCGAGTCTTTGTTCAACGACCGCGACGATCATTGTCAAAGGCCGTCCTGCCTTTGTCCTTTCAAGAATCCTCACGCACTTCGAATCCCTCCAAGCCGACA